ACCAGAGCTGCCACCATGTGCTTCTCCCTCCAGGCACTGGGGCACATGTGCAAAGCAGCCATCAGCAGTTCGGGCGCACAGCTCTGAATGAGAGCTGCATTTCTCTAAGCAAAGGGCCATATACAACTCAGGAGCCATGGGTTGGCCACCTGAGTTAGAAATATGAAGTGTGGACCTGTTTATTATTCTAAACGTGCTAATGAGGGCCATTACTGATTCTCCAAAAATGAATGGCTCGCTGATCAAGTCAATGATCTGTAAATGGCCCTGTTTTTCTTCTAATCCAAGACATGTTGCCAGCCCACCTGATGCTGAAACCCATTTTAGATCTTGTACTTTTCCACTTAAGGTGAGAAAAGTTTGAATTGAGCACAAAGAATTCCCACCTTTGGCAAAATGGATATAAATGGGAGGAAGAACCAAATAATAAGGAGCAGCTGCCAGATGCCAGGAAACCTTCCCCCTAAGAAGGTTTGGAAACATCTAAGCCTGAACGGGGGAAGGATTGGGCCCAAGCTAGGGGACTGCCTAGCTTGTGAAAGAGATGTTGGAACAACCGTTTAGGGTAAGAATTGGCATGCAACAAGTTTCTTAGTGGATTAGGATTAGCTGGCATGCATTGTTTATTTTGGTTTAATAACTTATTACGATCTGCCTGTTTTCACTTGAAATCACTTACCACCTACTTTTTATATTTAATAAAACACATTAGTTTATTATCAAGCCCAAGGTAAACAACTGTTATGGGGGGCAAACACTGTGCACATCTCTTGTTCATTGATAAAAGGGGGTAAACATGTTTACTCTGCATAAAACCTTTACATGGTGTAAAACTGACTTATTTGGGTCCACTCTGGGGTCTGTGTTCTGGGTGCTGTGAAAGGCCTTATAACTGAGTCCCCCCCCAGAGCTGAGCTGGTTCAGGATCTGTGTGGCTCTGCAGTAGAAGGACAAGTAACCTCAACTCTGTGCCTTGCCTAGGGGAGACCAAAGCTTCTGGCCCAGAAGAACAGAGTAGCAGGGGGCCCCAAAGGAGAAGGCAGGCAGGCATGAGTGGCTTGATCAGCACACTAGGGGACTACACCGAGGGAACTTTTGTGATCCAACCAGTCACACGTGTAAAATAAAAACACAATATTCAATTTTTCTTACTGAGAGTCAGCGGAAGAGCAACTATCTGCCTTTCAACTGGATATTTCTGAGCCTCCTGATTCAGTTCTAGAAGTATCTACCCATCCTTCTCTCCGTCTTCCATCCTGGTCTTTACTTCTGTAGCAACATCTCATGACAGGAAGAAGTGTTTGATTTTAAAGTCCGATGACATCATCGTAGTCTCATCACTTTGCCAAAGACACGTACTAAGTTATTTGTGACTTTTGTCAATTCTGTTTCACTCCCTGTTGCATTCTATGAAACTCAGTTCTGACCATGACAAAAATCAACAAGTTTTCCTCATTTCTAACTATCCAAATCATGTCACTACACTGCCTATCCCAGTAGTTCCCAAAGTTTTTTATACCATGGATTGGCAAACTTATTCAAAAACTGCTGGTGTACCAACACTGAAATACTGGCATACATATATTATGGTAATTTTAAGAGTCCACGTGTTACTTAGCATTGCATCTGTATGCACATAACACGTCACTGTAAAAGATTTTCTTTTATTAGTATCCCCCCCAAAATATTCGCTTTCCAACTTAAACAAAAAATAAAAAAAATCACACACTAAATAATGCATAATAATAATGCAAGTAAACCCTGGCGGTAGGGTTGCCAGGTGTCTGGTATTCTACCAGACAGTCCGGTATTTGCGCTCTTTGTCCGGTAAAAAAACCGTCCGGTATTCTCTGATTTTTCCAGCTGCACACCAGACAGAAACCTGGTGTGTGGGGCAGGGGGAGCAGCTGGGAGGCAGGGCCATGATCTGCGCTAGG